GTGTGTGTGTCTGTTGATTAAGTGGTGTGTAGCTAAAAACATTCTCACACGACCTCTAGTAACATGTCGTGTCTTAAACATAAGAACATATTATGGCTAAGGCTACAGTTATACACGTCATTATAATAATATTAACACCCTGTCTGCTGACAGTCATCAACTTTTCTCTAGTTATCCTTGACCAGATGTACCCTGTAGAAACTCATAAGCATGACTAAGCATTTAACAGTCTAACTAGACATCCTATCTCCACTAAACATTTCTAATACATAAAGTATCTAACCAATATCTATCTGACTAAAAATACCTAACACAGGGATCCTTAAAACACACACACACACACACACACACACACACAGACCTAGAGCAGTATGCACTTTACTCAGTGAGCAGCTGAATAAACATATAGTTTTATTCTCATTCCCATGTTAAATTATAGTTTGTTCTACTACTGTTGCAGCTGGTGGGATTATCAGCAGTCTGTCCTTCTGTGGATCTGACTGCTCCCATATTCTGCTTCAAAATTAAAGAGCACAGGGTCAGTTTTACAGCATGTTCCTACACCTGGACAGCCAACACATCCAAAATCACTGCAGGAGTCCACAACTGTAAATTAACACCGGTCAGACGTTAAGGCCACAGCACTGGAAAGTCCCACAACTATCTAGACTGGTGATGGCAGAGTCAGCCACAGGCCAGCTGTCCAGACAGAAATGGGAGGAAGAATGGAAGGAACATCAACACCGGAACTAAAAATAACTAGCATTTATATATCTGACCTAATGGACCCAGTCACACTTGCATCATCTGTCTGCACAGGCACAACACAGATGACCACAAACAGATGTCTCAGACAGCTGTTTAACCTCTGATTTAAAACTGTGTTGCCAAGAAAAGACACTTCCCGATTAACTGGATAAAACAAGGATGTGATTGTGTCTAAAGTGTGTATGACTGTATATGGTCAACAGAGCGTGAATCTCATCGACCCTACTATCTCTCACATATAAAGCTTGCCTGGCTTTCTCTCTCTCTCTCTAATACACACACACGCGCGCGCACGCGCACACACACACCAGTGATGTAGGAGCAGTAGAGCAGTCAGCGGGTTGTTAGTTATGAAACAAAGCATTTTACTGTTGCAAACAGGCCAAGGTACCAACCTGACAGGGTTCTACTTTCAGAAGAAAGCTAACGGTTCATATATTCCATTGCTAAGTAGCTAGGAGGCCAATAGTTAGGAGGCAAACATTAAATTTGTGCTTAGTCTGGGGAAGATTTGTACAAGACAAAGACTTATGATTTCATTAAAATCTGCACATTTTCACTTTGACCATATTAATCTACAAGAAAAATCAAATAGCTCAACTCAGCATAAAAGTTTCTTGTGCAAGTCTGACAGCTTTTTGTTTTTGTGTCTCTCCTAATCAAAGTTAAAGTCTCAGCAAAGATTCACAATGCCTACATTTAATCTAGTAAATAAAAACACAAATAATTGGACTGTTGATGTCATCAGGTGGAATAAAATGGAAGAAGTTCTGGGAAGAAGATCTCCACAGTGACAAGGTGTACAACTCCTGGAGTGGGAACACAAAGATGCATAAAAAACTGGAACAGAATAAACACTGAGATTCTCAGACTTTCAGTGGCTTGACTTAATTATGACCATCATCGCAGGAACAGCTGGTGAAAGACAATAAAGATGTGACTATAAACCATAGCTCCCCTCAGTTCACTGAGCCGCAGTGTGCTGCGTGAAGGACACTGCAGTTGTTTTGAGCTGCCACAGAGACATGACATGATGCCTCTTGGTGCCATGAAATCCTACTGTAGCTGCATCCCCTTAAGACCTCTGAGTCACTGAGGTGCTGTGTGAACACTGCCTGTTTTGACCTTTAGCTATATGCAGCCAAAAGTACAAACCTTTGACTTGACTGCTGCTGTAGAGTTTCATAGGACAGCACTTTGCAATGTACACTATTTAAACAATAATTCAAAAATGTAATGTCCTGCAATTAAGAAAATTCAGCCGTCAAGACTCACATTCTGAATTTGGAGGGAAATCATTTCATCTGTTCATAATATAAAGCTTCCACTTTTTCA